AAATAAATATATAAAATTATAATAAAAAGAAAGGTAATACACTAATACAAAATATGTAATTTTAAAAATTAAATATATTTTTTAAACATAAGGTAAAATTAAATAGAAATAAATACGCAATACGCGAATAAAAAAAAAAAAAAAAAAAAAAAAAAAAAAAAAAAAATAAATAAATAAATAAAAAAATAAAATAAAAAAATAACAAATACATTTTAGAAATCATTAAAAAAAAACGAAGAAGAAATAAAATTCACGTATACAAAAAATATATATAGGTTTTAATTTGTAATTTTAAATTATATTTATATTATACTAGGATTTATAATTATATATGAAGACATAAATATATGAAAATTAGAAAAAAGTCATATATCTTTATATATTATAAATAATTAATAAATTTATATGAAAATACATAATTCAGATTATAATAAAATAAAAGTTAAAATTTTATCAGAGTTGTTTTTTTTATAACTATATAATTATTATACGCTGTTTATAATCATTTCTGTTAATATATTCATTTATTTTATGAATATTTGCTACCCATAAATAAATAGAATATTAAATAGATGTAATTATACATTATCTGTCCAAGCTCTAGCTCTCTGCTTAGCCATCCAAAAACTGTCCAATTCTTGGTATGGAAATTCATGGAGCCGCCTATGCCTATGGCTTTGGCTGCAACTTTAATGAATGGAAATCACTTTGGGGCTGAGCGCACAAAACCGCAAACAAAGGGGACAAATGAAAGTCAAACTGTCGGCCGGGCAATGAAACAATGGAAATTGAAATCCAATAAGAAAATCGCGGTAATAAATCAAATTGAAATTTAATTAAAAGTCGCGCCATGACACAAAGGCACAGCAGGTGTAGGTGAGAGAGAGAGAGAGAGGGAGGGGTATGGGTCGGACAGGTGTGTGAGTATGAGGTCAAAGGGATATGCACAGCTGGCCATAAGTTTAGTGGGCGTGGCAGTGTCTCAATTATGAGTGCGCATACAGAGAACCCGGCAGATGCGACATAATTTCACTTGTAAATATTTAAAATGCAGCAAGAGCGTAAAATTGTGGTCACACCCACACGCACACACACACACAGACACACGCACATTAGACAGCGTAATGTATACATGAAAATGTAAATATGTCGAGCTGTTTGCAGTAGTCGAAGAAAATAACTTGAATAATGTGAGCAAACACTTGAAATGATGTGTGTGTGCGTGTGTGTGTGTGTGTGGGTGTGCGTATGTAATTACAAAGTACACACTCACACACACACACACAGACGCACACCTGCACACATTATACAAAACACTGCATAAATATTTATTGTGTATTCGATGTCGTATTGCCAACGGCAACGGCAACGCGGCGTATGAGTGATTTTTGCTTTGATTCCAACCACAAAACAACGCACAAAATCATCAAAAGGCAAAAGTATATATATATATACATAAATATATATATTACACATATATAAGTATATATATTTATCTAAATCTATCAATATCTATTTATACATTTGCGGTCAATAGGCATTTCAATTGCCCCAATTTATATTTAAATCATATTTTATATTTGATAGAAATTTTATACAAATTTAAATTTATTTTCATATTTTTTGTTGTTGTTGGGTTTTTGATTGGCTTTTGGCTATTCACAATCGAATTAGTATTTGACGGCTGCATTCACAATAAACAAATGCTTCGACATAATTGAATAACAATTGCAATTTGTTGAATAATTTTGATGAATATCAACAAATTGAATTAGCTTATATAGATTATGTAATGTGTATGGGTTTTGGTCTTTTATATTTAATTGGTTGTATTGTTTAGATACCAAAAAGGAATAATAAAATATATGTAAAAGATAATAAAATATATGTAAAGAAATTAATACTAAAATATATGTAAAAGATAAGAATATATTTGTAAAGAAATTAATACTAAAATACATATATGTAAAAGATAATAAAATATATGTAAAGAAGTGAATATTAAAATATATTTAAAAGATAATAAAATATATATAAAGAAATTAATAAAAAATTTTATGTAAAATATAATAAAATATATGTAAAGAAATTAATAATAAAATATATGTAAAAGATAATATAATATATGTAAAGAAATTAATATTAATAATAATAAAATATATGTAAAGGATACTAAAATATATGTAGAGAAATATTTAAAAAAATCTAAAAGTCTTAGATAAATTTGAATATTCAAGCTATGTTCATGCCAAATATGCAAGGATACCATATATGCCTCCTATGCTAGTTAAAAATCAGATGTATGGGCTCTATAGATAGACAGCTGAACGCTAATTCCTAAAACTCCAGCGATAAGAATATGTAAGAGAAGAACATGAAGTCTTACAAGCTATGGGATAAGAAAAGTTAAAAGACCAAAGGAGAGTATTACAAACCCAGCTGTAGATATACTAAATTTAATATATGAACTTATGCATGAGTCTGAGTATAAAAATCTGGGCTCTGAAGCGTAAATTGAACACCATTACAGTCAAGTGTATCCATTTGAAAGTTTTTAGGAATATTAACTACTTCACTAATAAATCCATTAACTATTATATTAGAGACATTAGATAAAAGACCTGCACAAGATAAAAGAATATATACCTACATATATGCTAGTGCAGTTATATGCTAGTCGAGCATTTCTTAGACTAAGCCATCCCTACTTCTTATTCATACATGCATACATAGGTATATATCGTAAGCATATATAGTAAATCAGTTTTATCTCTTCAAGCTTTAGTTTCCCTACTTCAGTTGAAAAGGAATTGCGCTTCCTGCTGGCTATTAAATATTTAAGAGTTTTAACCATTTCGACGTTCGTTTGTTGAGCAGCAGCGCCTCGCATGATGACAAGATCCACATATGGAATTCGAGTTTAATATGCTTAGTAAAATAAAAATGAATGCCGAGGCACTTTGCTTTATGGCTGGCATAAAGTTGATGCGACTCGGCGGGAATACAAAGGAAAATTAAATAAAGGCCGAAGGCGGAAAAGTGCGAGCGAGGCAGCGATTCAAAGGAGCAACTACCAACAGCTGAGGGGGCCAGCAAGCGGGGGCGGTGGCAGCACGAGTTCAGGTGACAGAAACAGGTGAAAGAAACAGATGATGTAGAAAAATGTCAGCGGCGACAAGAAAAAGTTGTAAGTGTCAGTTCAAAAAGCAGTTGCCGTCTGGAGGTTTGGGGTGGTTGGGGTGGCTGGGCTGGTTCCGTGGGTGGTTTTATACGTTGTCAAAGCATAAAAAAAAAAAAACAACAACAAAATGAACATTTGGCGGCAACATTCGGCGCTGTTTTTGACACCTGCGCTCACAACTTGCCCTGCGAAGAAGACGAAGAAGACGGGAAATGAGAAAATAAGCAGCAGACGCGAAACGCTGAGCCAAGATAACGGTAAAGGACGCTGGTGGGGGTGGGCTAATAAGAGGAGAGGGAGAGAGAGACAGAGTGACTGACAGGGGGAGGGGGACGATAAAAAGCAACTTGGCCAGCATTGAAAATGGCGAAACCTTCCGAAAAATTTGGCCTTTAACTTTTTTACGTTTGCGCGCATCGAGTGAAAGCGTCTCCCAATTGCCCGTCTAATTGGCATGCAGAGGTCGTCTGCAGGTCACGCTAAGAGCACTCACAAGTGCCCAGTTTTGGGTAATCAAAGTTGTAATTTTATATACATGGAAATACATACATATATAGAGAGAAGTTGTTAACTGAAGTTGAATGTATTTAATTTTTAAAAATCTTGCAATCTAGACAATAAACTTAATGAAAATATTATTAAATTAAAAAAAAATAATAATATAAAACAATAAAAAAAAAAAAAAAATAAAAAAAATATACAAAAATATATTAACATAAAATATTGTAATAAAAAAATAATATTAAAAATATTTATTTTTTAAATGTTATTATTCAAAATATATAAAAAATTAAATCAAAATTGAAAAAAAAAGATAGATAATTCTATTAAAAAGATAAGTCTATCATATTAAACAGAAAAATATATATAAAAAATAGAAATAATAATAAACGAAATAAATACTATAAAATAACAATTAAAAAATTAATAAAATATACATATATATATATATTAAATAATACTAAGAAAAATGCATTTTATTCAAATATTATTTATAGTATATCTTAATATTTAACTTTTTTTTATAATATTATAATATTTATTAATATTATAATATTATTATAATAATAACTAAATAAATAAATAAATATAAATGAAAATTTGCTAAGTTCAATTTAATTTTAATTTTAATTTTTTATTTTATTTAAGTCAGTGCTGAATTTAATAACTTTTTCAGCTTTTAAGACCTCGCTCAGATAACTGATAATTATAAAATCTGTTTGTATATACAATAAATATACATATGTACATACATTGTATGTAGCACAATAAAATATTTCAGGAGAAAATCAATATCTTTGGCTAAATTCTATGCATGCCATTCAAAAATATTAATTAAAGGGTGGGCGTCAATGCACAGAAATAATTGTTTTGCCCTACCGTAAAATATTTTAATTGAAAGAATGTCAAAATAACTTTGATTTGTTTTGCTGCTCTTATAACACACACACACACGGACTCATGCATATAATCATACATACATATGCACATACATGCAGACCTACATACATTGCTGCCCTTACCCAACTCTTTTAAAATGTAGCAGCGAAAAAAAAAAGCATGTTTCAAGCTGTCTAATCTGAGCGCAGGCAAGTGCGCTGAGCACGTGCTGTCGGCTGTGGGGCATCAGCTGTTGGCACGTAAACAAACGCCATATGACGCAGAACGAGAGAGACAGCGAGAGAGTGTGACAGATTAATGCTCTCTGGCAAAGCTTTTACGCTCTCTCTCCCACTCAGATAAACTCAACCGTTTCGCTCAGAAGCATGCTAAAGCAAAACTTCACTTTCATTTACAGTTACAGTTACAGTTACAACTATAGACATGGCAATAGCTATAGATGTTGCTATAGCTATAGCCGCAGCAGCTTTCAGTGTCGACGTCAGTTTGCCGTGGCAAGCCAAAGCTTCAGGTCGTCGTGTCCGTCTGCCATTTCGCGCTCGTCACACAGCCAACCGATTGGCAATCGCAGTTTTGTGCTAACTTCGTGCAGGTCGCTGACGCGCGCGCTCAGTTCTTGTGCGAACGGCATCAGGATAACACGCATTGTCTATTCCACACGGCCGACGACAAACGGGCGGCCATTTCGTAAGACGTCGCAACCGTCGCATTGTGTAATAATTTGCCTCGCAATGATAAAAATTAAATTTAATGTTCTAACAAAGTCCGGAACTCTATAGCTTTTATCACGACTCGTGCGGACCCTATTTAAATAACAACGTGAAAAAGAAAAATGTATACAAAATAGCAGCGAGAGTGTACGTGCCACGTCCATCAATCGGCAACAGGAAATCCGCCCGCACTCCTGATTTTGGGTTTCACTTGACTGGATTTGTTTTATGTTGCCCTTTTCGCCATATGCACACCCGGTTTTGATTTTTATTGCCGCTTCAACGTTTCACGTTCAACGTTGCGCTTTCGGACTTTGGAGACCCTCTGGGTTTTTCAACTTTTCTCTTTTTTTTTCACTAAACAAAACCTCTTGGCCCTTTTTTTTGTTTTTAATATTAAGCAGCCAGCTGTAATTGTGTTTCTTATATTTTCAACAGTAAAAAGTTTGTTTAAATAACTCTAAAAAGGCCCACATAAACCTTCAACTTGGGCGGACTTTTTGTTTTGAAGTTTTCAGATACTTTTGATGTAATTTACTTGGTGGTGAAAATAATTACATCTATGAGCGAATACCAAGAACAGTTAAGAAAATCTACAGAATTTAATATTTTAGCTATATGGCTGTGAAGTTTCACTTAAATGTGGTGTAATAGTAGATAATATCAGTAAATTATACATACAATATGTTAGAGTTCCTGAAATGTAGCTGAGCAAACAGGTTTTATGCACTTTAGATTATTATTTAAGCAAAGAGTGTTAATGGCAAATTGCAAATATCGAATTTCAGAAATTTCAACAGTTTAATCTCAATATATTTAATATATTAAAATATATAGCAATTTTCATCATAAATTCCATATTTATTTATATAATATATTAAAATATGCACATAATTTAAGTATAATTTCAATATGTTTTAGAATTTTATTTTTAAATATTTAAAATTTTATTTTTAAATATTTTTTATATTTTGTAACATTACTTACATTTTTAACATAAATAAAATATTTAATGGCAAATAAGCTTAATTTCTTTTTTACTCAAGATGAAGTAAATATTCGATTTTTTGCTAATATATTCACATATTTTTAAATACCTAAGCTTTCAAATAATAACAATTTTTATTTTATATATTTACTACCTGCAATTTCACATTAAATTTTAATTTATTTATTAAACATAACGAGTTTTCAATACTCCAGAGTATTATGTTTGCTAAAAGTCATAAACTAAATTTCCTAAACATTTTCTTTCAATTGAATTTCCTTGAATTTCGTAGAAAATAATTTCTTCTCAAAGAAGTTTTCAAAGAGATACAAAACGTAGCTAGAAGCTGTAGATTCACAAAGAAAACTTTTGTATTCATTATTAGATTTTCATTAGTTTTCCGAAAAAAGAGAAAGCACAAAAAATTGAACCCGTATTTTGTCGGCCAGTGTAAAGAGTTAGCCGCGTATTAATTATGAATTAACTTAGCTACATGAAAATGTTCATTTATGACTGAGTGTGGACGTTTCGTGTAAATGTTGTTAATAAATCCAACAACTTGGGATATTATGTATAATAAAGCATTTCATTGCGAGTCCCTCGAGTCCGCTGAGTCCGTTGAGTCCGCTGAGCCGCCGTCGAGTGTGCCAGGAGCTACGTAAAAATGACCGCCATTTCTCAAATGCCGCCGGAGCAGCGGAGGTGGACTCGAGGCCAGCCGCATCATTCTTCATTAGAGCCTCGACATGGACCAGGAGAGGGGCCATTTTCGGCCGCTTTTGATATTTTCACAAATGCATTTCCATAACTGAAAAAAAAAAATTAAGAACAGGCATTACCGACTGCAGGGTACTCATTCACGGCCCAAACTGTGACACGCCCCCAATTGGTGTACATATATGTATATTAATACGGTTAGATGGACATATCCCAAACTGAAAAATAGTAGGGACAGGCATTACCGACTGGCTAATACTTATTCATGACCCAAACTTTGTCACGCCCCCAATTAGTGTATATATTTATATACATACATATATTGATATAGTTAGACGAACGAACGGAGAGCAATACGTACATTGCACAAAGCCAATATACTCATTTCACATTTCGTGGCAGAGTATAAAAACGGCAAAAGGGAATGCAATGCCACGCAGAAAACGACCTCAAAAATGTTTGTAGCACTCGGCTACAGAAACGGTGTGCTTTAGAGCTTGAAAAATTGCAGCAATTAGTGTGCCTGGAGGTCAACCAACCAACCAACCAACCAGCCAACCAGCCAAGCAGCCAGCCAAACACCCAGCCAGCCAGAGAGTGGAGCGAGCTGGAGCCTGGAGCCAGCGTCCAAGAAATATGTGACACCCATTTTTTTTTTTGGCTCTTTTTGGCATTTTTTTTTAAAGCTTTTTCACTCTGTTTGCATTCGGCATGCGACAAGCTCTAAACGATTTTAAAGTAAGCAGTGCGAATGGGAAGTTTGGCTGGAGTAAATACCACTGTGACACAGGTGGCCTTAAGCCGGAGATATTTCAATGAAAACTTATTATTTTTATGCGCATTCATGTGTGTGTGTGTGTGTGTGTGTGTGTGTATGTGAGTGTGGGGATATTGGATTTTAAGAGAGATTTGGCTGAGATTGAGGAAGAGCTGCTTAGAGCTAGATTAGTTTTATAGAGTTTGCAGATATTTCAATACTAAATTATAGTTTTTAGTATATGTAAAGGGGCGTATTAGTTTTGTATAAAAGTGTATAAAAGCAGGGGATTGTAAAGTAATATAGTTTATAGGTCTTTCAGTTTTTATTAGGATAGTAGAAATAATTTTCTGCAAAGCTCGTCAATTATTTGGAATTCAAATTCAAATAAAGCTAAAAACTTTAGGTTTCATATACTCATCTCATATATCTATAATCTATTCCATTTCTGTCTCAAATAAAAGGATGTTGACTAAAGAGCAACGCATTGAATGTGCAACGTAAAAAGTGAAACGTGGCTCGTGGCTCGTGAAACGTGCATCATGAACTGTGGCACGTGCAACGCGAAGAGAATCGTCGAAAAAGCAACGCAGCCTTAGAGTGGAATTCCTTTAGCAAAAGTCATTTAGCTGAAGATTCCATTGCGTAAAATGATTTTTTATGCTCTCCCACACGATGGGACAAAAGAGTATATTGGTTTTGCGCTGGCAGTGTAAAATATCTAATGCAGATGATTAGTACTGATGCTACAGTTTATAAACATATAGTATAGATGCAAGGCATATAGGAAAGAGATCAGATCAAAATAAATTTAACAAGCTAAATATCACTTAATATATACCATAGATTCAAGGCATTTATAATATGGATATTAATAATATTAATTTTCAATTAACTAAATTAATTCCTTAATTGAACCAAAAGGCTTTATGAAATTAATTGAGTTTTTTATATAGATTAAAAAAATATATATTTTTATTTATTATAATTTATTAATTTAAAAAAATTATTATTTTTATTTATTATAATTTATTAATTAATATGAAAAATTTTATAATTTAATAAATAATTGAATTAAATCAACTTATTTTTTATTTAGATTAAAAACCAAAATATTTTATTATTTTTATTTATTTATTTATTTTTAATATATTTTTTTTTTAAGATATCTGCATTAATTTAATTCTTTTTTTTTATAATTCTTATTTTTTTTTATAAATTATCTTATTTACTTTAAACAATGTCTGCATAACTTTCCTATAAATTCCATAATTAAAAAAAATTCAATTCATGCAAATCAGTTGTAGAAAATTCATGTTTAAAATATTATTATAGAATCATATAGGAAATCACATTTAAATCCCATTATAAACAAAGCTCTGTGATATTTAAAGCGACAGCTCGTTAAATCGCTGGCTAAAATAATAAAACCATTTAGGCAAGCGAACGGAAAGAATTTAATATAAATAACAAAAATGTATATCTGTATGTAAATACATAAATATTTATATGTTACATCATATTGTTAAGAACTGTATAAATCGCGGCCATTTATATTATTAATTGCTGTTAAATTAATAACAAATATTGCATAACAAATAAAGTGGGCGGATTATTGAATCAGCTATTTGCATATTTCATATTTCACATTTATTACAAAATCTACAGTTATATTTTTTTTAGCAATTAAAAATGAAACAATAAAAGCGCGAAAGAGCGAGCGAGCGAGTGTGAGTGTTAAAGTGGTAAATAAATAAAAATAAAATATATATATATATCTATATATATTAATATATATTGAGAAAATATTAATCAAGTGAAAAAAGTGTTTGGCGTGCAAAATGAGCGAGAGCAAAGGCGCTTTGTATCGAAATCAGCTGCAAAAACCGAAACCAAAATCGAAATCGAAATCGAAACCGAAACCGAAACAGAATCAACAAGCGAATCCCAGTTGGATGCGTGGATCAACAGTCGCCCGGCCAGCGCTGGGGCAGAACAATAGAGGAGCAGGAGCTGCGGCAGGCTTCGGGCTGCTCTTTGGGCTGTTGCTGCTGCTGCAGCTGTTGGCAGCGACACAGTCAACGCCGTCGCCCTCGACGATGCCACAGAAGCGAGGTAAGTACAGCTGCTGCTTCCTCTTCTTACTCTTACTCTACATCATCTTGTTCTTATTTGTGGGCTGGCGCTGGCGGCAAACGCCATTGTGGTTGGGTGGAAATGGCAAATAAATGTCAAATAACAGTGGCTCCCAATGTCGCACACACACACACACATGGATATATTGGCCATTGTTGTGCGCTCTCACTGTGTGTGTGTCAGCACAAAAGGCGCAGCACGTTGCGTATACGCGCTGTTGCTCTTTGCCCCGCTCCCCACTGAAGTGAGCTGCCGCTGACGTCTTGAGTTTGCCTTTGATATTAAGTATGGGCAAGAATGGGGGAGGGTGCAGAGCGGGGCATATTTTATTAACATTGCATTGCTTCCAACTCGCTTACATAATAGAAAATTGAATTGCAGCAGCAGCAGCAGCAGCAACAACAACAACAGCTGCTCCTGCTCCTGCTGCTTCTACTCCTGCTGTTGCTGCTCCTGCTGCTGCTGCTGCTGCTGCTGCTGCTGCTGCTGCTACTCCTGCTGTTGCCTGCGGAAGCCTTGTTTACAGCCAATGCAATGCTTGGCAATTAGCTGAACATCGCTGAAGTATACAAAACATAATTAAGGCCAGGCGCTGTCGAGTGCCGTGCAGCAGCAGCAGCAGCAGCAGCAGCAGCAGCTAATCACAATGATGAACAGCTTTTCAACGAGAGATAACATGGCGAAAAGTGTGCTAATCAATATTATCGATGGGATTGATGGGAGAATATAAATAAATACATAATTAAATATATGTATATAAATATAGAGAAATATATAAAATACATATATACAAATGTATATCGAATTCAACTTGGTATCCATATAGAGAAACCTAGCCTAACTATTCATCTCACAGATTGGTCTTGCAATATGCCAAATGGACCTCTGTGTCCCATCTTCATCTTCAATATGTAACTAGATAAAGCCTTCACATGTTTTGCCTAAGATAAATGCGAGCAGACAAATTTATTAATGTGCTAAATTATGTGTCGAAATGTGTTTCATGCTGCTGTTGTCTGCCTCTAGTTGAGAAGATTATTTAATATTAATCTGGCCAGCATATTGAGTGGATATGAAAGCTCACATAACTACTATCTCTATCTCTCTCTTTTCATCGATGTTTGCTTGGACTTTCTTCTATTTATTTTCTACATGTCTTTCCTTCCCCTCTCTTTGTTTCTATATGACTCTAGCTTCGTAGAAGTATTTATATATATGTCTTTGACATTCTCTTTCTTTCTCTTTTTCTCTATCTCTGCGTCACTCCCTCTTTTTGAATCCTCCTCTCTCTCACTATAGATATATTTATATATCCTTCTTTATCTTCTCTCTTTCTCTCTTTATTTCCATTTTCCGTTCGATGTCATTTTCTTTCTCGATTGGTGACTATGGTCCACATTTTCATCTTAATATTTACATCTTTCTTTCTCCTTCACTCACTGTCTCACTCCCTCTCTATTTCCATCTCTCTCCCTTTCGCTGACGCTCTCATTCAATATTTCTATCTCTCGATCTGTATTTCTTTGTCTCTAGCGCTAACTTTTTCTCATTATTTTCACACAATTTCTCTCTCTCTCTCTTTCTCTTTTCGATCTCTCTATCTCTCTCTTTCAACATTTCTGTTACCTTAATCCTTATCTACCTCACTCGCTTGCTCTCTCTCTCTTCTCATCTGCCTCCTTTCCTCCCATAGGCATCTGCTGTTCTTCCTGTTAACATTCAATATTGTCAAATATTCTCCCATCTAGCATATCTCTGGCTTTCCACCAGATTGCGTGAGCTGCCGCTTTTTGTCTTTAGCCTATAGGTCTCCACTCCATCTCATTCAGCATCTTCATCCGGCTGCTGTCGCGCCTTTTTACGCATGGCTCGCAGCTCTGGCCATGGCCAGGACTGGCTGCTGCTTGTTAGCCAAGCCGTCGCACAGCTGTCGCCGCTGCTTGGATCAGCATGAACTTTTGCTTTCATTTCACGCTGGGGAGCAATAGTGTGGCCTTTTTTTCTCCGGCTTTGAAGTTGACTCCATGACCGGATGAGCAGATGCCGCGACTTGACTCGACTCGGCTCGAGTGCTGCCAATCCAATTCAGCCAGCAACATGCTTCATTTTGTATTATGCAACAAAATAGAGAGAGAGAGAGAGAGGGAGGGAGGGAGAGAGGGAGAGAGAGAGAGAAACTTGCCGAAAAAACTTACTTGTTTTGTATATATAAAAAACTTGACGCGACATTGTCGTAAATAAGAGACAAAAACTTTCCCATCCAAGCGTTTCCCAGCCACTGGAAATATATCCCAGTTAGTAATCTGGTGTCAGAGATGAAAAAAAATAAAGAGAAAAACTGAGAAAAGAAAGAAACTTGTGAATGAATATGATAAGTTTGTTGTTGCTTTACGCATTGTTATTGCCAGGGGCTGGGCGGGGGTGGAGGCGGGGTAAGTGGAGCTGGCGAGTGGCAACTGGGAGCTGCCATAAATTTGTGCTAATCCAATGTGGGCACAGTTTATAGGTGAAGTGAACTTTATGGATACTTGAGCGCCAACTTTGCGGATACTTTATGCTATTTCTCATATGCATGACTGCCAGAGTGTGTGCGTGTGTGTGCGTGTGTGTGTGTGTATTGCTTGAAAGTTTTATGACTTGTGAAGCATGAAATGTGCAACAAATTGTGGCTGAAAGATGAGCATAGACCAGCAGCGGAACACTATATCATATATGTATATGTGTGTGTGTGTGTGTGTGTGTCTGTGTGATTCATTGATACGTTTAATATTTCCCAAGTCAATTGGCTTGTGTTAAATATCAAAGTTTCCCTTGCTTATGTGGGTGACTAATAAAGTAGGTGCGAGCGACTGGGCAGTGGCTAATCTGAAATATGATTAATTGAGGAACTTGTGATACTCATTGAAAATGGCATGAAAACGGGGTATTATAGACTTCTGGGAAGGAGATTGGCTCACCTTGTCTCATCCTCTGTCCCTAACTCTCGTCGCTTCACTATTTAGCTCTATCTCTTTATCTCTCTCTATATCTCTATCTTTGTCTTGTTTGGTTATGCTCTCGCTCTATATATTTTTCTCTCTCCTCTTCTTTCACCATCAGCCACTCCCTTTGTCTTACTCTCTCTGGCCCTCTCTCCTTCTCTCTCAATATCTCTCTCTATCTCTTTATCTCTCTCTATATCTCTCCCCTATTTCTCTCTCTGTCTGTCTGCCTCTCCATCTCTTTCTCTCACCCTGTCTCTGTCCGTCTCTTCCTGCCTCGACCTCTCTCATTCTCTCTCCCTCACTCTGTCGCTATCTTTTTCTGTATAGCTTGACGTCTCCCTCTTTGGCTTGCTATCTCTCTCTGTCTCTGCTTCTTTCTCTCTCCTTTCAATCAGTTTCCTTCTCTTTCTTGTTTTTCTCTGTCTGCCTCTTCATATATTGGCTTCCCTCTCACTCAGACTCCCTCTATATAACTCTATATCTCTCTCTCTCTTTCTATCTCTCTTTCTCTGAAAGAATCATACCCATCAAAACTTTTTCATAAAATAGAACATGATTTAATTGAACATTACAACATATTCTATAGTGCAAAGGGAAACTCATGTTCATACCACACGCTTGACCTCAAAGAAACGCTTCAGATAATAGATCTCAATGACGGTCATGCCCAGCAGTAGCGAGGGCCCAAAGATTGACCAGGCCACCAGGCGAAAGTGCACATTGGCGCTGAGCTCCAGATGTCCTTTGTAGCGCGCATGCATGTACTCCTGCTCGTGCTGCACGACAATTATCTGGCTGGAGAGCTCATTGATGTACTCCTGCAGCACCGACTGCTCGACAATGTCGTCGGTGCGCTTGTGCGGATCGATGTAGTGGCCAATGTCCTTGACAACGGTGTAGTGGAACATCAGAACTTTCGGAGTCAGCGTCGACTTCGAGTTGTCGAAGCACAGTGTGTACTGGCCATCTTTGTTGGCCGCAAACGTATATTTGCCACTCGTCTCGGCCTCGGCATGGTAGAGCATCTCATTGTCTGGCGCCAGAATCTCCACGGCAATGTCCTTGAAGCCGCCCTCCATCACCTCAAAGCTAATCGCGACCTTGTCCTTCACCTGTGCGCGATCAAAGAAACAGGCCATCTCATGGGCATCCACTGTAATGAGGAAGCCGCGAGCCAGTGGCAACAACACTAAAATGCCTATGAAAATCAACATTTCGAAATTTCCTTTTGAATTTGTATTTGTTGTATGCGTATGGAATTTATATTTGTTCCGATCTCTATACGACTTCAATGCATACTTGATGCAAAGGTGCTAGAGCAGACACTTGACAAGTAAATAATGATGAAAGCTGACTGAATATCAAATAAAATAATAGAATATAATAAATGTTTTCCATGGAAATTAAGAAAATATAATATAATACATATTTTCCATTCATATTAAAAACTAATTATAATATATAAATATATAAATGAATACAAAATATAATATACAACTTTATAATATTTGTAAGTTCATTTAGTTGTTTTGAAAACTAATAATTTCTTTTGGTGAAAATAAAAAAAATTAAAATTAAATTTTTAGAGAAATAATAAAAATATATATACAAAATTATAATTTTTTTTTTTTAATTTTAATAGTGTATCTGAATGTACAAAATTAAAAAATAATTATAAAAAAAATTGAGTAGCAATTTATTTCAAATTTTTAAACATAAAAAAAAAATTATTAAAATTTATATCAATTCATATTTCATAAAAACTCTGACAATATATTTATATATAATATAAATATATAAAATATAAAATATGAATATATAAAGTATATAAAAATATAATTATTTAAATATATAAAGACATAAAATATATATGATCTCCAATTAAATGTTTTTCCCCTCGACTTCATAAAATTTTTTTAAATTTTTTATACAATTTTAAATATTGATATAAATAAATATTCTAGTTAAGGGAATCTTTGGCCTACATATTATTAG